GGAAAACTTTATAATATAGCTTGCTGAAGGGCAGAGGGGATGGGAGACTGAGGAAAAGCGGCAGGGAATATAGCAGGGGGCGGTGAAATAGGAAATTAGGCTGGGCGAGGGACACGGGAGGCAAGGGGAAGGACGCGAGGGCATAAAGTAGGTGTTTTGTACACTACATGCTAGGGCGCTCTCCTAATTATAAACACATGTCTACTGATAAATGTTTATTAGGGAAATCTATGCTGAGATACCCCTAACCATTTTAAATGCATATTCATCACAGAATATAACTCCATTGGTGAGATATTGCGCATGCGCTATTACACACGAACGTAGCCAGATTGTGTACTGGATGGTATACGCAGCAGGACCTTACATGCAAGGTCTTCCTGCTATTGCTTAAATAATTCTACAAAAGGAATGTTATTATATAAATCTATGCTAGGATAGCTCCTCTTCATTTTAAATGCATAATCTTCGCAAAATACGATTTCTCTCGGGAGATATTGCGCATGCGCGCAAACCGTGTTAGGCGTGCAGTGCCGTCTGAGGCAACTTCATAATATAGCTTGCTGCGGGGGAGAGGGAATGGGAGACTGAGGAAAGGCGGCAGGGAATATAGCTGGGGCGGTAGAAAAGAAGAAGAAGGCTGAGCGAGGGACAGGGGAGGCAAGGTGAAGGACGCGAGGGCATAAAGTAGGTGTTTTGTACCCTACATGCTAGGGCGCTCTCCTAATTATAAACACAGGTCTACCGATAAAAGTTTATTAGGGAAATCTATGCTGGGATATCCCCTAACCATTTTAAATGTACATTCATCACAAAATATAACTCCTCTGTTAAGATATTGCGCATGCGCTATTACATACTAACGTAGCCAGATTGTGTACTGGATGGTATACGCAGTCGGACTTTACATGCAAGGTCTTCCTCCAATTTCTTAAATGATGTCTACTGATTGAATGTTATCATAGAAATATATCTAACTCCTCATCATTTTAAAAGCATAATTTTTGTAAAATACGATTGCTCTCGGGAGATAATGCACATGCGCGCGCACCGTGTTAGGCGTGCAGTGCCGTGTGAGAAAAACTTCATAATATAGCTTGCTGCGGGGCAGAGGGGATGGGAGACTGAGGAAAGGCGGCAGAAAAGATAACTGGGGTCGGTAGAAGAAGGAGGCTGAGCGAAGGACAGGGGAGGCAAGGGGAAGGACGCGAGGGCATCAAGTAGGTGTTTTGTACCCTACATGCTAGGGCGCTCCCCAAATTATAAACACAGGTTTACTGATAAAGGTTTATTAGGGAAATCTATGCTGAGATACCCCCTAACCATTTTAAATGCATATTCATCACAAAATATAACTCCTCTGGTGAGATATTGCGCATGCGCTATTACACTCTAACGTAGCCAGATTGTGTACTGGCTGGTATACGCAGCGCAGGCGACAGATATCCACAGAGCGTGGCTTTAGGCCACCTCGTCCCCCGCTAGTGGCCTCCAGTCCCCGTCAGCTCACTCCGACAATAACCCTTCCGCGACCAAAAATATTTCTTTTTGTTTACGTATTTTATTAATGCTGAAATAAGTTACCATGGTATATGCCGATTGTATTACCCATAGGCATAGATATAGCATTAAATAGGAAAAAAACAAGACAAGCGCCAGTGCAGCACTCGGTAAATTATTAGTAGCACCTTATAGTGTTGCCGGCGTTATATTTGTATGACGGGGGCCTAAGGCCACCTATATAGAATTGTAATAATAGTGTATGATGGGGGCTCAAGGCCACATTTACAGTATTTGTATGACGGGGGCCTAAGGCCACCTATATAGAATTGTAATAATAGTGTATGATGGGAGCCCAAGGCCACATAATTATATAGTATTTGTATGGCGGGGGCCTAAGGCCACCTATATAGAATTGTAATAATAGTGTATGATGGGAGCCCAAGGCCACATAATTATATAGTATTTGTATGGCGGGGGCCTAAAGCCACCTGTATAGTATTGTAATAATGGAATAGTTTATGATCGGGGCCCAAGGCCACATATATAGTATTGTATATGACGGTAGCCTAATGCCATCTATATAGTATTGTAGTGTGGTGTATGCTGAAGGGGGCCTAAGGCCTCCTATAATATAGTAGTGTGTGGTAAGCCTTGGTTGTAAGCTATACCGCCTCCAGCAAAAAAAGGAGGCTGCATCACTTGCACAGTGTATTATTGCGCCAACGAAGCCCTCGGCCCCCAGTGGCTTAAGGCCACACTTGGATGTGGCTATCTGTCACTTGCGATTTATATGCTCTGCTCAGAGCCAAACTCCACGACAGATGGAACTCTCGCTCTCGCTCTGGCTTTCGCTCTGGTTAAGGATATACACAACAACTCTCAATTATCCTGAATTGCACGACGGGGGCGCTGCATGCAGTTTGGCTCAGAGACTGGAAACATTAAGGAATGTGGGAGGCCAGTGTACCACCCTTCTCAGAAGAGGTGAATACGGATACCATTGTTATGGTCTCTGAGTGTCGGACCCTAATGTTGCGTTTACACTATCGATTTTTGTAAGCAAATCGTCAGAGTCGTGCAAAATAGAACACGTTCTTTTTCTCCAACTCGGCGACTTGACTCCGACTCCGACTCCAACACGATCGGCCGATTAGTTGGAATGCACTTGGGTCAAGTCGGGGCAAGTTGGAATGCACTTGAAATCGCTACGATTTGCTGACAAAAATCGATAGTGTAAACGCAGCTTAAGATTAGCCGAACAAGGCGGTATCTTTTCTAACATCATGATTGGAACTGCTGTGATTGCAAGTGTCGAATTAATTGTTGGGGAGGGAGATCTCGCCTTGCCTACCCTTGCGGACACTGAAGTCAGGGCAATCCTAACGTATGCTATCAATGCAGATTTGATCATTAGGTTGTTTACCCCTGAAATGGTGGAAACAGAAAATGGCAGTCAATAACGAGAAGGGGATTTCCTGGTAACTGATATCACCATAAATGCGGTAACCTTCCACTTTTTGCCTGAGTACAAACAGGTCAAAATTCGAGTGGGGTCTTCTGTTATGGCAGTGTACGGACCAGCCCAGTCACTGATCTGTGTGTCCACTTGCAGGAGTGGTGCGGTTAACGACACTTGGTTAAGTAACCGTATGAAGGGGATTATGGAGATCTATCAAGCACCCCCAGTGTTCTACGTTGATCCCACAAGCATCCGTCAAACCTGGCAACGATTCATATTGCCAACAGGAAAAGCAAACATCATCGGCATTATTAAGAACCTTGAGGCCTCAAAAGAGATCCTCTTGTGTGTCACTGCACTGCGAGCTCAATTTAATGGACTGACTCCGTACACTCTAATAACGGAGATGCAAGAAACGCATCCCGATTTCCCGTGGGCAGCTTTGGGTCAAAGCATCCCTGTAGAAATTAAAGTTTTTGAGGAACTGACTGCGCAGATTAACCCGAAATCAGGACCTCAGGACAAATACTTCGGGACAAAAGGAACAGCTTCCCAGTATGGCGTCAGAAAGTACCCCCACTTGTTTCGCATCTGCAGGTTCATTAAGGAGGAGATTGAAGGTGATACGGCCTTCAGGGGATATAAGGGGAGTGTTCAAACCCCCAAATAGTTTGCCATTGAACATATCATGAAGAAGTACAAAAGCAAAATCCATGCACAACGTCGAATGCAGAAGGCCGGCGCTTTCGAACCTAGGGCTGAAACGATTTTTCTAGGTAAGAGGATTCCCGTCGATCCATCCTACCCTCAGTCTGAAGGTCAGGCTCCCCAGGACGATATTTCAGAAACCCATGGTAGAGTCCAGTCCTCTGTTATGAGAGGCTTTGATCAACCTCCAAAAGGTGCCTCAGGATATAGTCAGTACTAGAATCCTACGTATGGGTAGAGTATTAAAAAAATAACATGGTAAAATGCATTTCAAGGATGATATTTGAATTTGGTAGAGTTGTGTTCTAGAGATTGTTGTTATAGTTCGAATGTTTGTTTATTATTGTTTTAACAGAATGTTTTCTCCTGTTTCTAATTGAACAGCAATGGAATTTAACACTCCAATAGGATAGAACACGTGATTTAGCACGGATCAAGACATTTACCCTATAACCACCAGTTTTTTAATTAGATTTTAAACGTCTTAGCATACGTTTGTCGTTTAATTCTCATACATATAGTTACAAAGAGAAAAACAGAACTGAGTATGAAAATACGGAGAGAACGAGGACGAGACAAGATGGTCACCTAGGCTGCTGTACGTAGTATGTATGTATACATTTTGTATGTGTTCGAGTTTACTAATAAAGCCAGAGTTAAATAACGAATCTGCGACTACTGGCTCTCTGTCTCATTCGGAACCGGACTAACAAGACTCTGCAATCTCTGCCGGACAACGCTGCAATCATCTGCTGGACAACGCTGCAATCATCTGCTGGACAACGCTGCAATCATCTGCTGGACAACGCTGCAATCATCTGCCGGATAACTCTGCAATTATCTGCTGGACAACGCTGCAATTATCTGCCGTACAACGCTGCAATCATCTGCCGGACAACGCTGCAATCATCTGCCGGACAACGCTGCAATCATCTGCCGGACGATTCTACGCTACGTCTCTACTCTGCCACAAGTCTACTACTTGCAAACAAGTCTACATTGCTAGCATCTACAAGATCTGAGGTCTCATCATTTCGCACTACAACACATGCAATATGGGTGCGGTAAACCGAGTTGAGATGTTACGAACTCCGCTGTATAATAATAACAGGAGTGTCATAATATAGATCTAAAATTTATTATGACACTCCTGATAAAGATACATCCCCCCGGTCCATTCGTCGGTGCTTATTGCGTGAGACCTCATAGCAATTGCCCATCCTGTAGCACGAAACACAAGTGTCGTTAGTAGTAACTATGTGTATCAATGATGACAGGCATTCTCTTGCCAATGGAGAACAAAACGACTTTCATTTTGTATTCATAGCGATCTATATTAGTTATTATTTTATTAAATTATTATCAAGTTATCTTAAATATAAAAATCGCGGTGTTATCAAAAGTGCTTTTCGTAATTTGCGGGAAACGGGTAAATTGTAATTATAACCGAATCTTATTCCGCTAACGACAATGATCCGCTCGTATAAGTTGTAGTGTGGCGTTAAATTAAATTGAGGCGCTGAAAAAGAAGAAGATTGTTGAGCTATAGCAATTCTAGCGACCGCCACTTTTTCGTGGTTGCGATGTATGTGTACAGCCAGTTACCACGATGTACTACATATCACGCTGTCGCCTATCACCTATCACGTGTCATGGCTTCATATAGCACAGGAATACGGATGGATACGCTCATAAATATGTGGGTGTGTACAATTATTAAATGGTAGAAACACATCTTTATATCAATAAATAGAAAATTCGTCACTATGGCACTTTACGGAAACTTCGTTTAAATTCGTAGTAGTATACAGTATACAGACGTTCTACTGTCGAACTCATTAAAGTGATATGTAGAAACGTGGTATCACAAGAACATCCTATGCAAAAATGAGGATAAATCTTGACTTACTTCTAAAAATATATGTTATATCTGCGCAGAAGGAAGCGACCAAATACAACAAACTAAACACGATTTCACAACATGTACATCCACATCCACGATCGTGTTTCACAAACGTTTCACACAATACGATAAAATCATTTTATATAAAGAAGTAATGGCAGTAAAAAAACCTCCCCCACAGATACTTAACACGCGCATTGGACGCCCCCCCCCTATTCTATATGACGGACGCTACCAGTATTACTAAAACCAATACTAAAACTCCACTTAAAATTCTAAGGGTATATATAACAATTGGGATAAATTTAACTGTTGTAAATCTTGACGTTAAATTTTTCACGTTCAAGCGCAGCACCAAATATATATTTATATACATGCATATACACTTCGTTATTTCGTCGACACGGAGTGAAGTTAACAGAGACACACAATGGTAGAAGCCTGGTAAGTAGACGTAGTATATTAACAGTTACACACATACAGACAACCAATGCCGATAGTATTTTGCACATGCATATAGAACAATTTAGACATATACAGTAGCTCTGTCGTAGCCGATACCAGGTTTACGAACATATAAGGTTACGTGATGCGTCTAACTAGAACGATACACGTTAAATAATAATTAATTAGTCTATATTATTATACATAACTTTGTTGTATACGATGATCATTTTTGTTAACCACTGTATGAGAAAAATAACTGCTTGGCCCAATTCTCCGGATAGTCGAATAAGCTCGGTGTTACCTCACACCGTCTTCTGTGTGAATCTCGTCTCACCTTATAACGTATTGCAGGGGTTATAGGGTCTTTCACGGTCTGCAACTGCGTTAGCTTACCTTTACCACCTGGATACCCGGATACATGGGTATCTAGATAAATAGATGCCTGGATATCTGGATATCTAGATATCTGGACACATGGATACACGGACATAAATACCTGGATACCTGTATATCTGGAGACATTGATACCTGGATATCTGGATACCTGTATAATATTTATCTGGATACCTGTATATCTGGATATCTTGATACCCAGATACTTAGATATCTAAATACCTAGATCATTTCTACGGCAGACTTCTGTGTTTGATGAATTCTAACACCAGGTTTTCTGCGGACTCTCCCTGACCGCTCTGCTGTGAGCTTTACTGGCGCTATTGTTCGCCATTCGCTCCCAGAACGATTGCGGTGCAACGTTGCCGCTAGGGACGCTGCGCTTGAAGCCGGAGATAGTCCTACGTTCTGGCGCCCCTCGCCGCAGTGGCGACACCTGGGGCTCCTCGTTCTCCTGCTCCTTCCTCGTTGCGCTAACCCGAGGTTTCCTCGCCGGCGTGCTGGAGACTTTCGCGGGGCTCTCTCTCGGTCTCGCTGTCGCCGTGGGCGACGCTGTTTTCACGACGGCGGCCGATCTTCTGATGACGGCCATCTTCGGCGCGTCGGTTGTCTTCAGCGCCCGGCTGTCGCCCTTGAAGGAATCTCTCGCGGCGGAGTTTCGCGAGAACGCATCGCTTCGACTGCTCGCCGACAGCCGGCGCGGCGTCTCTGAACGCGGTGTCTCAGCTCGCGGTGTCTCAGCTCGCGGCATCTCAGCTCGCGATGTCTCAGCTCGCGGTGTCTCAGCTCGCAGTGTCTCTGCTCGCGGTGTCTCAGCTCTGGACGTTCGCGTCGGCGGTCTCGTCTGTCGCGTCGGCGTGATCACCGGTGCGTCGGCGTGCACGCTCGCGGGTCGCCTCGTCGACTGACTAGAGACCGGTCGCGTAGTCTTTGTGCGCTCAGTTGTGCGGAGTTTCGGAGCCGAGCACTTTGTCGGTGTGCTCGCAGGACGCTGCGCCGATGAGTGGGCCGACGCACTGCTCTCTAGACTCGAGCTGGAGCCCAGGTTGCCTCTGCGTTGGTCGCCCGGCGTCGAGGACGAAGCCGAGAAGGATCGGAGTAGCTGGATGGGAGCCGACAGCCGCTTCTTGGCCGCCGTGCTGGTGAGCTTATCTCTGGTCGGTGTGTGTACCGGAGCGGGTTTGCTCGTCTTTGGAGTCGTGCTCGAGCGAGCTGGCTTCGTTTTTGCTGCGCCCGAGTGGTTCGGCGTTTGTGGTTTGGATGGCGTGGTCACGCTTGCCGCTTCGACGGTTGCGGCCGGTTTGCTGGTAGAAGTGGGAGGCGTGCGCTTCTTTCTCGCCGGTTTCACGGGGGTAGATGTCGACATTTCGCAGAGGGAGGTGTCCGATACGCTGGTGCTCGCGTTTGTCGGTTCCTTGCGAATAACATCCGACGAGATGTCTCCGCGCTTCTCGACGAGCTTCGGCGAATCGGGCAGCTCCGATTCGTGGGTGTAGTTGGAGGTGCCCTGCGAGGTGGCGCTATTGGTCTCCGTATCGATTCCCTCGTCGCGGTCGTTGTCGTCGCACTGACCGTAGCGGCCATCTTTGTTCAGCGAACTATCAACGGCATCTTCCGAGCTGTCCTTGGTGTAGAGAACTATCGTCTCGTCTTGAGACAAGTCGTGTGGGAGTCCGTGTCCCGGCGATTTCGCCGTATCGTGCGAAACATCGTTAGCGTCGTCGGAAATATTGCTTTTTACCGGAGCCAGCGGTTCCGTGTGCGCAGGCGCGACGGCGCTTTCCGTCTCGTAGTCGGGTAGCTTCGCGTTCCATTTAGATCGCCACGTGTAGCCGCCGCTTTTTCCCTTGTTGCTCCTGTTGCTCTCGTCTTCCAAGTCGTCGGCGCGTTTTGTGTCCGGCTTGCTGTTCCTGTCAAAATACGAGTGGTAGCTACGGCGGAAGCGCGCCCTGGGTACGATGTAGACGCCCCACTCGTCCTCGGCGCTGCCCGGCGCGGGTAGTCCCAGCTTAACGTCGCTAAGGTCGACCTTGTGTTCGTGCTGTTTGTGAGAATTCTCTACGTGCTGGTTATTGTTGTTGTGTTCTTGCTGCTCTTGCTGCTGTTGCTGCTTCTGCTGCTGCTGCTGTTGTTGCTGCTGCTGTTGTTGCTGTTGCTGCTGTTGCTGTTGCTGCTGTTGCTGCTGCTGCTGCTTGCCCATCTCCGCGTTCCTATCGTTCTTCTGATATTCGCGGACGTCGGATTGACTCTTCGGCGAACTGCTGTCCATTTCCGTGACGTCGGCAGGCAGATTGTTGCTCATGCGACGCGACGCGGATTTCGAATCGTCGCCCGCGTTATTGGCGGACGCGAGTGTTGACTCGGTAGTCGTGGATGACGGCGTTTGCCTTCTGCTCAGTGAACTCGTCTCGTCCCTCGCTGGGGATCTGTCCTCTTGAATAGTCATCAGTCCGCCGCCATAGCTCGGCCGAGTAAACGTTAGTCTGCCTCCGATCCGCACGCGGCCGCCAACGTCGGCGGAGTCCTCGTCTATGGTACCGAGGCTCTCCTCCGAGAGCGACAGACTCGTCGGTCGCACCGGGTCGGTGGACGCTGTCACCGGCTCGGCCGAGTCGAGTGATCGCGTCCGCTGAAGGTCTGCCTTGGGTTTCGACCACTCGTCGCGCAGCTGCTCGCACGCTCGCGCGGCCGCCTCCTCCGCACCGCTGCGCCGCTCGGTGCGACACTCATTGCTCGTTATGACGACGTCGGGAACGGTGACGGTTGTCGTCACCGGCAGCTGATGCGAGACGTTCTTCTCCGGGTGGCTCGCGGCTTCGCCCCATGGCAGCTTCGATCGCATGCTCTTGGTTCGTCGAAAAGGCGCGACGGGCGTCTCGGTGATTCCGGCGTCGGCCGCCTTCGCGTGGTTTTCGCGGCTACTCTCGAACCTCGAGATGTTGTCGCGAATGCGTTCGCTCAGCGATTTCGGACTAGGCGTCGCGAAGGCCAGGTTCGGATCCGGTTTAACCTGGACCTGTTCGATGCTAGGGTCGCTGCCGTAGTGCGGGAGCTCCGACAGAGCGATCGAGTGCGGCCGCTCTCTCTGCGTGACGAAGTCCGACGGACGCATGGAGCGCCGGCGCACGGGCAGCGATCCCGGCCGCGCGTTCCTGTTGAACGCGTGAGACGGACCGTTGTGCGCGTGCTCGTCGTGCTCGCCGCTTCGCGCGAGGAAGTCGAGAAGGTTCTCTTCCTTCTTCGTGATGTAGACTTCGCCGCGCCGCCGCGGCTCCGGGCTCGCCGTGCGCATGTGCACAGCGTTGTCGCCAGGTTTCTTCAGCAGCATGGTGGCGCTCTGCTGTACGTCCGTCATCAAGCGCACGTGAGGGCCTCCTGAATATATACACGCACGCATAATATATGTATGTGTGTGTATGTTATATATATATATATATATAATTATAAATATTATATATATATAATCAAGAGCTAATAATACAAATATATGATGAATATATATATATATATATATTATATATCTGATATAATACATATATAATTATATATTATAATTTATATATATTATATGGAATGGAGGCGAAAAAGAGAGAGACAGAGAGAGAGAGCGAAAAATAAAGGCAGAAGGAAGGTATAGAGGGAGAGAATATCAGAGAGCCAGAGAGAGGAAAGGGGAGAGAGGTTGGGAAGCATGCACGCATGGAAAAAATATTCGTTAAATCGGTTATTTCAAAGTGCCATAATTATTTCTACTCGATTTCTTTTTCAAATATATGCGCGCATGCTTTTTTACTTTACTGCGGTTGCTGCTGCAGTTGTTGTTAATATCCAATAAAATCCATGATCGCGCAGCCGTTCAATATGACAGTATAGTTCAACAGTATTTGAGAAGGCTCCTACCTTGGTTAGATGCATGCTCTTTAGCTCTGGCGGTCGCTCTTTCTTCTTGAATTTTCCTCTCTGCATTTTCCTAGATAGCATACAAAGCCAAATTATTGCAAAAACAACTGTTCCATGTCATATTTTGTATCAAATAAAAATAAAACAATATTATAATTGCCAAGCGTAAAATAATTACTCGACTGCTGACCAATAATTAATAAAGAACTTGTTTTTAAAAATACATTAACCAATCACAACTATAAAATATCCCCTCCCACAAAAAATAGATATCCGAATTTGCAACTCGCCAAAAACCCGCGAGCTCGATTAAACTAGATGATACGTACTTTGATGGCCTTTTGGAATTTCTTTGCAAACGTATCAAAGATTTGAAAGCACTCCTCGAGTTTGAATGATTTCTCGTCTTCGCAGAAGAAATCCGCGAGCTCTTTCCTTAGTCTGCTCAGCTCAACTAATTCGTCATGCAAGCCGGTAATCTCTTCTCTTGCGTCCTGCAAGTAAACGGACGTATAATAAGTGATGTTATTATTACTATACCTATTATTATTATTATTATTATTATTCAATATATATATATATATATATATATATATATTTATATATATATATATATATAGTGAAAACATTGGAAGCATCTCCCAGTAAGTATAATTATATTAAGTGGCCGAGAACCATGACAGCATCGATAAGCCTGTGCCTAAGATTGCGTCCGGTAGGTGGCGGGAGTATGTATGAACGGACCACAACACACAAAAACAATTATTTCGGTTCATCTGCGCCATAGTAAACCTTACTAGTAATCTTGTAGTAACTTGTAATCAAGGTAACGCTTGGCGTTAGAAGCAGCTGTGTAACGCCAAGGCAAATGATGACTATCTATCAGAGATCTATCAAACGTTCATATAAATATTTAATTTGGTGTGTGCAATTCGTTTAGGGGACCCAGCCCCGCAATGGAAATGATTAGATATGTTGTTAGAGAGAAAATTGCTAAACATGTCGTATATTTATGCTTGTTGGATATGACAACGATTACATTACCAAATAAAATGATTTGGAATAAATAAAAGAAACTATTTGCTGGAAAAATGATCAATGCCTTCACAAAATCGTCCATCATCACTGCTAACTCCTGGTTCTGCGGCAACTCTAGCTGCTGTGTCAAATTCTGCAACTTCTTGTCCATCGACATGATCTCAGTCGTCAGCATTTCAGTGGACACCCTGCAGGCGAGAAACAGACTGTGATCGACAGAATCGTGTACGCACGCACGCACGCACACACGCACTTACACGACACACACACACACACACACACACACACACACACACACACACACACACACACGCGCGCGCGCGCGCGCGCCGACACACTCGCCCACACATGTGCACTAGCTCTGACACACGCGCAATTCGGATTGGTTTACAAACGAGTGAGCGGTCAAGCAAGACGATCATATCGATGATTATCTATCATTGGCACCTACCGATATGCATCATCAAGTCCTCGCATCTCTGCTGGAAACAACATAAGCTTAGGATCTTGTTTCTCGGCTTGCTGAAATAGGAATTTTTGCCAGTCAGCTTTTATACACTTCAGGATGCCTTCCCACTTCAATTGTGCTGTTAAACATATATGATCTGGTAAAAGGGTTGCGCATTATACTGCCCATATTAGCATGGCAGGGATCTAAGGAATGACCGAGGTCACGTTTATTCAAGATTTCTATTAGACATCTACACAAAGAAGGCCTATAAGGTCTATAAATGCCACATCTTGGGTTTCCCATGGCCATACTTATATACTATTATACACTGTAAATGTGTTCATATGATATATATATATATATATATATATATATATATATATATATTGTGTGTGTGTGTGGTGTGTGTGTGTGTGTGTGTGTGTGTGTGTTGTTGTGTGTGTGTGTGTGTGTGTGTGTGTGTGTGTGTGTGTGTGTGTGTTCGTGTTCGTCGTGCGTGTTGCGTGTTGCGTTTGCGTTTGCGCGTACGTGTGCGTGCGCTCGCGCGTGCATGTGTGATCGCTTAATTCATGTGCACGCGGCGTGTTAATTCCTTGTAGCCTGACGAAGAAACATAAGGTCTCGAAAGCTCGCAGTGAAAATATATGACATCTGACTTCTATATTTCTATGCTATATATATATATATATATATATATATATATATATATATATTCATTTACCATGGCCACGTAATGCAGTAGGTTCATCCTCGGCTTATTGGATTTGGTGTCGGCAAGCTTGACTAAAGCGGACAGCTTAAATCCGGCAGCGTTACCAGCATAACCTCCCTGCGGTGACAACGACAGCAGCAACGAAACATGAAACCCCGCGTTGAAACTATCGACTTAAACTTAAAAAGTGGATGAGTTTGTAAATTTTCTACTTTCCATAGACATTCTATTGAGAACATCGAGTACATTCAGCAGGTTTATAGGCCTACTGTCGACTGTTTGATGACCAACTGTGGTTTAGCTTCTCTCGTCTGTGAGCGCCGGGAGCGGGCTATGGATACACTTTATTGCTTGCACATAAATGAGAAGGTGGACGAAGGATGAGAAGGGGCGGGTTCCCTGCACCCTTAAACCTATCGTCAGAATTTTGCTTTGGCTGTACTGCTCTAGGCTCTGTGTTTCGTTGTGACGACAAGAACGAACGATGCATGGGTATGACCAGCTGCGATCTGCTTACAAGGAGACAAGGACGGGGGGACAGTGAACGTACGCTACCGCAAGCCTTTGCGCAGAGGAACGTGGGGACAGAAATTGTTGACTGAGAGAGATAGAAGTTAACGCAAGAAATACGAACTATGGAGAAAATAACGATACGAACTATATTACAGGCAAAAAACTGATACCAGGTTATGTACTGCGCTGTTTTCACGATTACACATGTCATGTTATCTACATTGCATATGCAAATGCAATGTATTTAGTAGATCTCACAGTTGAAAATATCCACACTTACCGAGTTCATGAAATTCCCAGAAATGAGAACTAAGAAGAGAATGTCGGGAAGACACTTGCTCTCTTTTAAATCTGAAACACGGAATGCATCTGGCTATGAATTACGTATCTATTTGCATTATATGTGTGTACTACCTACGTCTACATCTGTAACTATTAGTAAACTAACGTTACTTATAGATTTACTATACTATAGGATTTTCTACTTATTCAAGAGACTAGTTTCGTTTTTGATATATGCATAGATATGTAAACTATACTACATATAAATATAAAATATATATGCGTTCTTTGTCTATTTATAAACATTATCTTCACAGCATGCGCATGTTTAAAGTAATAAACATTGCAATTATATAGATACATGTATGTGGCCATATAGTTTAACCAAATTCGCAATTTGTTTTTACTTATAACTCAATTCAATTGATTTCCCTTTTCCAGCACTGTAAACTAAACCAGTTATGTTCACGAGAAGCTTCAAAGATATGCAATGGCATAGTGGCTTCAGATGAAATATTCGCAGCTAGTTTGCACATTCGCTTTGATACTGCTATATGTATAAACGCGTTTCCCATCTTGCTGTCGGTACTCCCACGGTAATGCTAAAGGGATGCTACAGTAACCAATGTATTCCAACCGTTTATGACAAATTTTGACGCGTTTTATTTTGTTCATCTGCACATAAAGGCCGCAAACACGCATCGTTGTAGCAGCAACTCGCCTTGGGGTGACCTAATGCCGCAGGAATGCGCGCGCGAATCTGCATATATACACTGACTGAATAATAGCCGATGGCTATCGTTTACCCTTGCAAGCAAAGTGTCGAGTTTCAGTTAACTACACCCCTTTCGGAAACCCTAATGTAAAATACATTTCTGTTTGTTCGCGGCTGCATGCATCGATGGCCCAGCCGCATCATGCATTGCCGAGCGAGGGTCGGTTAACAATGGCACAACACAATGAAGAAGAACAGAATAGAATGCAAGTCGAAGTGCGAGGCTTTCTAAATCCCCAGCGGTGCAGAAATCCTTGTTACATCGGTGATCTGCTTTAGGAAGCATATGGTCGATTCCTTTGAGTTTTACGGCACAATAGAGTTTGTTATTTTAGCAGCAGGAAAACATGCACAATGCGTATTGTAGGAGTGTTATAGAAAAAACATAATGCAATATATCGCGTTCATGCAGTAAACGACAATCGATTCATTATCATATTCATATTCATTCATATTTCATTCATATTTATTAGAGACTTCGAATGTATACAAACCTTTAAGTTCACTCTAAAGAAGCAAAAAATAAGAAATATGCATTGATGTTTATTTTATACACAAGTATACATTAATGTCTATTACAGCTAATTATAGAACGTATTGTCATAATCGCACGAGTCGTCACGCGATTCATTATTAATGACATTATATTCACTCACGAACTAGCGATGTAAGTCGAAATGTACAGGTAAGTAACTTTTATCCAACATGATATCCAAACGGACCACGTGTTTTTCTTCTCTAAATGATAGTCGTGTAGGGCCCAACTAGATTTATTACCCGTCACTGAATCTTTGAGATGAAAGCTTCTGTGGGAGATTATCTTGTACGACTTCGTTAACACCGAGTATCAATCGGTGTGCGTATCACGCACGACCTTATTATTTGATCGCCGATAAAAACGTGCAACATTTTTTATTCGAGGTTAAAAACCGTCTCATGTCTGCTCCGCCACGCATGCTTGTATATTATATGGCATAATAGCGAGTAGGCATTGTAACCCGAGTATGATTGACCGATAGCAATGGCTTTCGTCGCTTCCACTGGCAGCAAGAACAAGTCCGCACTTGCAGCTACAGCACACACGCGGCCATTGACTATAATATAACAACCTTGTTATATATAGTCAATGGCCGCGTGTGTGCTGTAGCTGCAGGTGCCGACTTGTTCTTGCTGCCAGTGGCCGCTTCTACTATACTATCGCACCAGCCGTATTCATAACTGATTCATATCAAGCAACTGGTTCAAGCAAGTATAATAGTTTGAACTGGTTACTCGAAAAGTCAATCGCCTTCCCTGGCGCTTTTCTAGAATAGCAATCTAAAAAAAAGGGTAAAATATAGTTAAGAAGCTCGCAAAAGTTGTTATTTATAAAAAAAAAAATTGTGACAGTATGAGTTTTGAGAGTTCAAGCAAGTATAATAGTTTGAACTGGTTACTCGAAAAGTCAATCGCCTTCCCTGGCGCTTTTCTAGAATAGCCATCTAAAAAAGAAAGGTGAGATAGATAAGAAGCTTGAAAAAAGTCGTTATTTATAATAAGAAAATTAAAGCAGCAAAGATCTGTGAAGTGTCAAGAAAGGATTGAACATCAGAAAAAGGGGGGTTTGTATAAAACCCTACCTAATGCAAACCAGTAAACAGTAATATATAATATATA